AGTAATATGTACAGTTCCAGATAAACAACTGGAACTGAAATTAAGCATCACCTGCCTCAAGCTATTAGTAACTAAACATTCATATGGCATATTTGCAGACTTGATCCATTATGACAGATTAACTGGCATTTTAATACACCCTCCATCAATTGTGGAGAAAGGAGGTATCAGAAACTCCAGACAATACTGCAGACGTAAGTAGTGACCTGATTATTTACTTCCACATTTTTGGTGGTGCTCATCTGGTATATTCTACAACACACAGGCATACCTTTCCTACCTTCTTATGCACAAGCATGAAGTGCTCTTTCCTACCTGCTCTCTAGCTTTCTTGAGCTTACATTCCTCTCACCAAAACACTGCTGCTTCTCTTTACAGAACACCATGGAACATGTTTCGGGTGCAATTTTCTGATAATGTGCTCAAAAAACCTCCATAAAAATTCACCTTTAATATGATTGACAACTGTTCAAGAAGAACAGTCTCACAGGATGAATTTATGCACATTACCAATCTTTTCATTACTAAGTTATGGTACCTGTAACAAATATAGCAACAGTAATGCTTAAAAGCTATTCCTGACAGTTTTTGGAAACTTAAATAACAAGTTTCCTTTGTCAATCTAAACCACATGTTTACATTTATTCAACTATACAAAACCACGGTTAAATTACTCTGTCATTTTATAAATCTATCCCAAATCTTCTTTCTCATTACTTGCTATTTAGTGACAAGGTTAAAAGGAGTCTCACCCTGAACATACAGGACTTAGAATAACCTCATCAATCTCAATTTGCTGTAAACTCTAAATACAAGCAAAATTCACTAGATTTGCCTATTCATAATAATAAACTTGCTTTTATAGTGTGCATTTTTCCTAATTATATTCTACAGTTTCAACTGCTCTTCACAATAAAGTATGTTAAAGTTTTTCCCCTGCGAAAAAACAAAACCACAAGTATTTCCATATAGCATGTATATGCTGACAACTATTTTTGATTACTTTTTCCTGCATATATACAGTTCTTCAGAAATCAAAATAACAAAAGGATCCACTTTATTATTTCCATGTCAAGAGAAAATACACTAAAATACTGGCTCTAGTTTTCACAACACTATTCTTAAAGATTCAATGAATTTCACTGTGACTACAGGAAGAGACATTTGCATTTTATTTTCCAATATAAGGGAAAGAGCCATGTGATTTCTTTCGTACATGCTTATCACCATCACCCTTTTATCACAGAGTCAAAAGACTATTTGTGTAAGCTTTCTTTCATATTTAACACAGAATATTGCTTTAACTTTTCCAGGAGATTGTGATAAGGGCACATTTAGAAATTCCTCTATATCTGACATGATATTGCTAAAAAAAACCACACACTTTTTTGCTGCCCACCTGACCTCTTCCTTGTCTTCAAAATAAAGTACTATTATGATACATGCTCAATCATGATATATGTGTAAGTGCATATTCTTTTTTTTTTAAATTAACTATGGGGGAAAAGAGGCAGAAGAAAAGGTACTACTTCAAGATTACATCCCTCCTTCCTTTATACCAGCCCTGCTCTACCTCAACCTTTTCACCAGTGTCACTGGTAACAATTTCCACCTCATCTCCCCAAAACAAACAAAAAAGAAGTAAGTACTAAACTAATAAACTTCCTCATGGAAAAAATTAAAAAAAATATTCTTTAAGTATTTGTATTGTAGAGTGTATTTAACCTAGCACAAAAGCTGAGTAGTGTGAAGTAACTGTAGGTAAAATTCTACAAATAAGAATGCCAAGAGAAGACACTATCATATAACAAAAAGTGAAGGAAAAAGTGCTAAGACTGGGATTTCTTCCAAAGATGTGAAAATATAGGAAAAAAAAACAGTGCTCCAAAGCAATATAATTAATTCACATTTACAACCCAACCTTAGATTTAGCAATTATAACAGTTCTGAAAAAAGTTACTCTTGACTTCTCTTTATTGAAGAGGGGGATCAGGAAAGAAAGAGGAACCCGTTTTTAAAACCAATGCATTCAGAGTTTCCAGACTGCAGCTCTCTCATTTGTAGCTGAGGAGCAAGACTATTAAATTGAATTCCCCTTATTGCCCACAGATTAGAAAAGGAGTAAGCATAGTTTAGAACTCTGAAAATAATACAAAGAGACTAACAGAGGGAAATCAGCTAGTCTGAAGGATTCAAGCTTACTGCCCTTCAAATGCAAGTTATCTTCTAGTAAGTTTTTTCACTTTCTGCAGTTTTCCTTTCAAGTGTTAACACACTCAGCATACATTGCTCCATCGTCTCTCAGGTGGAACAAATCAAAGCCTTTATTTTCACCTCTGACATTTTCCAAAAACATATGAATATATGACATACCTTATGCTGTAACAGTTCAACCCTGCATTAGCTAACAATTTTTGTTAGGTTTAAGCCTACACACTGTACAGCCTACTTGCTTTCTTTTTGTACTTTGCCAGATCTCCTCAATTTCACAAACTTCTGAACAGAACTGTCATTATTAATTCTCAGCAAGACACCTAAGCCACTGTGAATCACTGCAGCAACTGGCAGCAAGTGTCGGCACTACTCTCACAATGCTTCCGAAACGGAGGGAAGTCTTAAAGCAGCTAAAAGCTTTTAGCTAAACCTACTGCTGACTTGGTTCTTGCACAAGTCTTCATCCAACTTCATTAAATAAGAGAGCAAAGAAAAAGCTTGCATTAGGGTGACATAACATTTCACACGCCAGAAATATTTCATTATTCTGCCTCTCTAACACCAGTATCTCAGCTCCATGTCTCCAAGTAGGGACACCACACAGGCTGGAACTTTAGCTTCTCAAACTTCATTAAAAGCTTACTGAACAGTGACCATTATGCATCCTATAAGTGTCCACAGTGGAGTTGGGCACTCAGAGTTTATTCATTAGACATCAGACATCAGAACTAATTGGTTCTAAACAAGAGTACAGATTACACATGTTGCACCCCTTCTTAACACGAGCACTACACGATGTAAACCATTATATTTACTGTGCAAAACTGCATATTTCTCCATTCTGGGTGAAAATTAAATTGCTACCCAAAAAGCAATTGATAATAATGATTTTTTCCTGAAGAGAAGTGAAAGTGAAAACAGAGAAAAGGGCTTTGCTGTAGTCTCTCAGGTGCTGCTCAACTGCATTGCTAAGTCCCAGATTTCTATACAACAGATTCCTGCAAATAAAGAGGAAGTGAGCACTTCTCTGCACAGGGAAGTTGTGGTCGTTTTCCCAAAACTTACATTTACCATGATCATTGCATTTTAGCAGTCATACTACTTTAACAACATTATCATATGGAACACTGGCAGCTCTGCAGTCCAGTAGCAGAGATAACAAAACATTTAAACTTCAACAATCATAGAGAAGTTCACTGTTGTACTGATAATCAAACACACAAAAATACAAAGAAGCAAACTACTGTGAATTCATATGAACTGTGTGGTAGAAGTAAAATCAAACTTATTTTTCAATATCTTTTAGAAACTTAACCCATTTTCATCCCATGAAGAGGTGTGCTTTAGCACTTTGAGTTCAATAGAAAAGATTAGCTCCATTTCTAATGGCTAATTTAAAATACATGTTAGTATAATCCATTCTGCAGCATAACTTTAGAGAGTTACAAACACAAGTTTAAAAGGTATGGTAGGATGTACTTGCTTTGTTACATTCCACTCAGTGTCTCACTGCCTGTCCAGGCTCCTCACATGAACTGGAAGTCAATACAGCTTGCTTCATTGCATCGAGACAAGCCCATTTTGAAACTACCATGGGCATCCAGAGCTTACCAGAGAATCCTGAAACTGCTTGCTGTGAGACACAGCCACATGCAGAGGCTCATGCTGGTTTTAGAGAATAAATCATCTTCAAGAGAGGCATGCTATCACATCAGCAAAACCTCAGTTTTTGTTGAACTACTATTCTCATTAAAAAATAATTTTCCTTATTATCCTTACATGTTTTGTTCTAGATTCACTGTTCCCCTGTTAAAACATACTATAATTTTTTCAGTAAACAAAATTTCTAGATAAATGTTAATCACTGTCTGGACATTTTCTTAGGGATAGTAATACTCAAAACAGAACACAGGCAGCTAGTAACAGATGAATGGAGGTATCTAGTTGTGACACTCATGCATTTCACCAATGCTCTAAAATATTTCCCTCTTGAAAGGTCTAATCTGTTGACCTAATTTGGTTCCATTATTGACATATTAAGCAATACAATTAAGGGACTGCTTAAGTCAGTTAACTAGGGATGGGATGGTGTGACGTATGAGGGGTTTGTGCATGTGTTGCTCTTTTATGTTTTTAAAAACAAAAGTGAAAACAAGTTTTGTAGATATCTCAATATTACACATTTCACTTCTTGTTATTCACAAGGCCCATGTTCAAGTTCAACAATCCTTCTCTTAAGCATTCAGTTGTAATTATTACTCATACTTTAGAGCTGTCAAACAGAATTCCTACCAAATGGCAACCATAAGATAATTGTGCTGTAATTTATCTTGGTAAAAGCATCCAACTAATTTTCAAATTGTCTGTTAAGTACCCATAACTGACATACATTTAGTTGGTCTTGACAGGAAGAAAAATTCCAGCATACTCACCCATATACACAGTGTGGACCTACCAAGTCAAAATCTAAAGATTGTCTAAATCAGAATGGTTGAGTTTAGAAGTTTCAAGATAATAAAGTGACAAAATTTCCCCATCTCCTTTAATATAAAATCTTAGTTTCAACACAAGAAAAATCGCTATAGCTTCCACTGATTAAACTAGTTTCTTGTTTAATAGACTCACAATAATTTATTCTATCCTTTGTTAAGAAATCCAATAAAAATCAAAAATGTCTGGTTGCCCACGCTTATTTTTGCACTTAAAAGATTTAGCAGCTCTCTTGGAAGCTAGGAAAAGAGACATCTTTAGAATGCAGTGTTAAAAATACATCTCTGTTTTCCTACCTGTTTCTCACTCAGAGCTGTGATTTTGGCTTGAAGTTCATGAAGTTGTTTCTTCAAATCAGCATTCTGATTAGAAAGAAAAAATATCTGTGAGAAAGATATTCCATTTGTTAACAAAGAGTAGTAGCAGGAAGGTGGGTTTTTTGTTTGTTTTGTTCTTGCATATTTACTACAAATACAGCACCTCTGGATGTACAGCCAATAAAATTCAAATGGCTCAACAAAGCCTTATTTAAGTCACTGAGTGCAACAATAATCAGAGGACCTTTCTAGCACTCAGAGATAGCCCAGTTTGGAAAGAAGATTTCATTAAAACATCCATTAGTGCTTATCACATTATAAAGCACATTTGAACATTTCATCAAGTTTATGACTTAAACAATAAATGTTTGTTAATATGTAATACAACAGTATATAACAGTCTGCTGTGGTATGCTATCTAAAACATTCTCACCTATGCTACTTATGCAAAGACATTTACACTTAACTGTATAGAGTATCAAGCATATCTCTTAAATCTTAATTGATACATATATAAGTTGAAGGCTAACATACTTTAAGTCCTTATATCCATGTATGCTTATGCCTTAGACTGTGCTAAAGAGAATTACATTTGCCTTGACAAATCATTCATATCAGCACTTTGCTTATAGTAGCACTTTTCTAAGTTTCAGATTTTAAAGCCATAAGCAATACCAGAAAGATGCAGACAGAAAACAATTTTTACCAGGACTTTTTCTTTTCTACTGAAATAAAAAAAATTAAAGAAACATCTGTCCTTAGTTTAAAACCTGTGAAGCTCTGCAGAAACGTGACAGGGAATCAGGTTTTCCATAATTTTTCTCCTTTCCCACTTTTTTGTTCTCATTTATGCTGTAAAGTTTTTATACTAGATTATTCAGGTTTAGTCTGCTAAGCAGAAATATTAAAACATAAGACTAATATCATCACAGAAACTTCATGCATATTCCCTATTTTTATAATCCTCCAAGTTTGAAATGCATTTTGATCTCAGCTTGCATATAGTCTCTGATTCTGCAAATACTCTGCAGATATTGACCAGTCATCCTCCCTTCTTCTAGATTCTACTTAATGATTTGGGATAAAAAATGGATTAAGAGCATTGGAAACAGGGACCAGATTTACTTTTCCTTACTCTAGGAACTTTGCATGGCTGCTTGCAGCATGACTTCACTTTCAGCAAATATGAACTGAAAGCAAACTGCTCTGCAGTGTAATTGTTAGCAGACCTGACCAGCGAATAAGAGCAGCAGATCTTACCCAAACCCCATCAGAATAAGAACGTTCAAAAAAACAGATTTTCCAATACACCCTGCTTAACCCTCCCTGTCAGAGGTTTAACGACCTGAGTGTTATTAAAAGCTGTCTTCTCACTTCACTGAGCTCAGGAAAAAATGTACATTCAGAAAATTACAAGGCATTTACTATTGTATGGGGATGGGAGCTCTTAACAGCAAGCCTCCAGTGAGCAGCCTTTATCCCTCTACTCAACATTTCAGACTGGTTTGAGAGCTCCACAGAACTCCCCATCCAGCATTCAGGAGTGTTTAACTGCTGTACAAGAAAACCCAGGGACATTACACAGTCATTGGGAAAGGGAGGATTCTGCTGTATATGCAGGGAGTCCAGTTATCCAACTGCAGTAGCTCTGAAACTTCCCAAGGCCAAGTGTCCATTCCATGGACACTGCAGGGCTGGTAAGATAGCCAAGACAGGCAAGCTGAACACAACCTTAAGCTCTATTATTTGGACAAAATTTCTTGGACAGAATATCCTCTCTCTTCTTGTACTGCAATCCTTCTGATACTCCAAAAAGAAAAAAGTTATTGCCAAAAATGGCAGCTTTTATAGAGCACAGCTTCCAATACAATCAGAAACTTACTGCTCATCTGAACTGCACCACAGTCCAGAAATGTCACTCTATTTAAAATATTAGGAATATGTATGAGGCAAAAAGCTACATCATAGCAAGATTTTTGGTTTTGTTTAAACTGATCCAACAGTCATTGTTCAAAAAATTATGAACAAGTTTTCTTCTAAATACTGTGTTAGCAAGGAAGAAGGTGATCTAGAAATATCTAAAATCATCAAGTTTCATGCACTGTTATTTTCTGCATTTTTAAAGGAAATTATCCAATATAAAAATAAATAGTTACCTGTGGATCCTGCTTCATTTGGGCAACCAATTTCTAGAAAGAAAAAAGATGCAACAATACAATGAAGATGATCATTATGAATCTTGTTGAACAGTTAAAAATTCAGTATATTTAAAAACCTATGTAAAAGCAAAATATTTAGTTTACAGCATTTCAATAGCAAAGTCTGGAGTCCACTATTATAACATTTCCAAACCCATTCTATTAATACACTAAAAGTACTGTATTAAGCCATCACTTTTGCTCCTCCTAAATAGATCTGAACAAGTGATGCTTTTTAAAGACAATTTAAGCCAGCTGGGTAAAATAATCTAATAGCTGTGTCTCCTTTAGAGCTGCTGCCCTCTTTGCTTGCAGTCACAAGAAACACAAACCACAGATAACCACTGCAGGCACAAAAGCTGTTTGTATATTCAAGGGCAGAATGTTTCAAGTACTAAAGCTCTGCCTGTGTGTTGGCTTGGCTGGTACCAGATGGAATACCCATGTTCAGAAGTATCTTTGCCACTTTTCTCCCTCAGAGAGAGATTGAGATCATTGTAGAAGAGATGCCCTCCACATCCAAAGGAAAACGGACAGATTGTTACCATTCACTATTCTTCCTCCCTCACTTCCTTCAGGGCAGCTGCAGGAGAATGCTTGTCTATTGCTGAGCAAGGAAAAAGTTCCCAAAGAAAACCACAGCCCAGAATGAAGACACAATGTAAACCAAAAACTCCTAATATCTTTTTAGGTAAATTTGTAGATATTTACATCTCTAATGTTTTCAAAGATTATATATCTTAGGTTTAGTAGCTATTATCACACATTTCTTTCATTGATCTGCTTGAATTACTTTTTTTACCAGGAAAACATTCTAGATTCTGTGACCATAAGTTCCCAAGTTAAATTACAGGACTCTTATGTAAAAGGATGACCTCCTTTTTCTTTTCAATCTGTTTCCTTACAATGCAAGCATGAGGGACTAATAAGATTATGGAAAACCAGAGCTGACTTGAGTCAAGAGGAGTTGGAACCTGGACTTGATGATCCTTACAGATCTCTTTCAATTTAAGACATTGTATGATTCTATGGCTGCTTCTCTCTTTAGCTCTTTCTTGCATTTTTTCCATACCACATATTCCCCCATCAGTCCTCACACTTCTTCAGATTGAAAGACTCCTCATGCACGAATCATTCCATTGCTTTATTCACTCTTGGCACTCTTCCATAATTCTCTAGTTTGTCTCTATCATCTGGAGACAAAGTTTAAAACTACGTGCAACACTCAAGTATTCTACTGCAAAAACTCTTTCCACTGTGCCAACAGCCAGTTCACAGCCTGCTATTGCAGATGTAAAACTGGGCCTGTTTTTCTGAAGTGCATCACTTGGCATTTATCTACACTGAATATTATTGTTTCGTCATGCTGCCATTCAGCATCACAGAACACACTTAGCTTATTTTTCCTCGGTGCTTCCTGCCACATTGGAGTTTGACAAGCAACAAATCTGTTAGTTTTTATATAAAATACTCCTGCAGACACAGTCTCATAAGACAATACAGTAAGTACTGTAAAAGCTTCACAAAATATTGCTAAATTTTTGGATCACACAGTACTACATCATGCAATCCTAAGGAAAAAAGAATTATTCTTAAACATAAGCTAAATTTAAGGTATTTTAAAAGCCACTGATATTTTTGCCATGAAATAAGAGAAGGACAAGGATGCTTTAGGTTCTTTCCACACATCAGCTTGAGGAATCATCCATGAAACTCAACCTTTCAGTAAGAATAGCTAAATATAAGTCCTTTAACACCTCTTGTGATCAAAACTTTGAAGATAGACTGCTTCAAATTTATCTTAATAAAGTCAACCCAGTAGCAGAATGAACTACTTAGATGTGATGCACCTCTTCTCAGGACAAGCAATACAGCTTTGACATGGAAGACATTTGAATATTCAAGTTGTATACTTGTACAGAAGTGATCTGGTCAGGTGTCATTCATGGTGGATTCTCTGATCATAGAAAGTAGACCAAAAAATTAGCTTTTTCTGAACAACTAAACACCTTTCTTGGGTTCTTAGTGGTAGTTTTAGATAAACTTTGCCAAAGCAGCATTATAAAAGCTTTAGACAGAGTTCTGGAAGTGAAACAGAAGAGGCAATAGCCAAGGAGCTATTCCACAAACAAAACTACATCATACTGAGCATCACTTGTAGAGCCATGTAAGCAGTCACAGGCAACATGCTGCATCAGGAAGCTGGGAGGGTTTGGCTACAGAGCTGAGCTGACTTCATCATGCTCATCACAGACACCTGTCCACCACTTCCAACAGGACAACAAACCATTGACTGTGTGAGTGCTGGCAAGCTTTGATACGGAGTCCTCAGAAAAAGAAATACTAGACAAGTAAAAAATGACAAGAGACAATTCTTCATAAATCCTGAGTGAAAAGAAGGAACATATTATATCTCTTCAGGTTGCAAAATTCAAAGCTATATAAGAAAACTCAAGCATTTCACTTGAAGATTATTTTAGTACCAAAACCAGTTTAATTTCTATCAGTGTGCTAACAAGCAATAACCACAAAGCACAGTTCACAAAACTTTTACTGAAGCACCCAACATTTTGTTGCAAGTGTTATTTTCCACTGTAAACATATAGACTTTTTCTTAGCCTTAATTGTGGAAATATACAGCATCTTGAATTTAAAAAGACAACCTTCTGATATAATGGTTCTTCTAGTTTCACCAACAAAAACAAAATCTAATTAAAGTTGATTTTTGTGCAGAGCTCACTTTTAATGACAACTGGCAAAGTTAAAGCAAAGAAAGTCAAAAACCCTACCAACTTTAAGCTGTTAAAAAAAGGTCTTTTTGGACATTTCTCAGTCTTCATCTCTGTTCATCAGTGTCACTACGAACAGATGCTAAAGATTATTCAAAATTCATAATCTTAAAATTTTTGGTTCACTTGGGCATAAAGGGGAATGAAGATGCACACAAGGGGTAAACGTTGCCATACAAACACGAGCATGATTAACATTTCGATTGCTTTACAGTAGTTAATACTTGAAAAAATTACTTTCTGGCCTTAAATATTTCTATATAAATAGAAAATGGCAGTAAAATGCCATGGGTAATTTCTGAACTTCCTTATCTCCAGAACAAAAATATCATTGAAGTTCTGAATATACAAAGGCCTTGGAATTACTCAGGACAGCAAAATACTCATCTGTAGTTCTAGAAATCCATCCTTAGCTTTTTCAGGCTTTCCTCCCTGGCTGTAAGTCAGATTTTGTTAAAGCAGACATAGCTTGATTTTACTAATTCACCCATTCGAGTTCTTGCAATATGAGCATCATTGCAGCAAGTACTGAACAAGCCATCCAGATCACATTTTAGACAAGTCACCAAGTAATTTTGAAACATTTTCCGAATTTCCTGTGATGGACTACACTGATCAGTTACTTCTATTTCTTTTATCCACTGTGTAACAGTTGTGAGTTTCAGATTTCTGAAGGGCATCAGAAATACTTGGAGAATTGTGTTTAGAAAAGGTCTCATTGTTAAATTTAACATTTCAAGTTGGCAGCTAGTCTGTGTCTAAGGCTGTAATAATTTTCTGCCAAGAATTAATGTGTGAATGACCTCCTATATTTACTAAATTAGGTTTTAATATCATTAGTTGTAATAGTTCCTCATTGGCATTGTGAAACAATGGCAAAATGCAACCCTACTGCCATATAGTACTGAACGGGTTACTAGTAAGAAGACCCAACATGTAAAAATTTACAAAGCCCAAGCACTTTGGTTTTCAAAAATATAGTTTAGAAGCTACTAAAGTAGAGGACATTCCAGAAAAGAAGCACCAGCTTAAACTATGCAGTACTATATACATTTCACTTCAAAGTTCTTCCACCATATTCCTCCATTGCCAACTGAATGCTAAAGTTGGCTTCAGAACATCAGAAAAACCTTCCAGACAGAAGCAGAACGTGGTTTTCAGAATGTTTTTATTACTTCTACAAAATACCAAAAAAAAAATCCCCACCCACAGCTTGATATGTAGATTTTTCACATTTGCTAAAAAACAACAGGTGGTCAGGTCAAAATGCAGAGTATAAAATTCTGAAGTAGTTTCAAGCTTATAAAACAATTATTACTACAGTTGTAGTGCTATTGCTTAATGTTCCCATTAGTGGTAATACTGTCAGCAGTACTAATGCTGCTATTGCTTTGAAGCAAGGAAGTATATAAATTACCTGGTGAACCTGAATTTCCACTTTCAGAGCCTCCTGTAGAGTCTGCAGCTCCATTCTCTACCTTCTCCACTTTCTCTAGAAGTGTCTTTGCTGATTCCAGTGCCTTTAGTTTCTGGTTTCCTCTTTAACACCAGTTCTATGGAAAAATAAAGGTTTTGTTTTGGTTAGTGAAGGAGAAAAGTCAATTTGAAAAAAGGAGATTATAGCACAACAGGAATTCAATAGTGAACTATATTCAAATGAAGCTTTCTAGCCTAAATACAGTCAGTCTTTTGAACACAAGAAATCTGCAGGCTCTACAAAATGCCTGCCTTGGAGTCATTTAACCAAATTTGTTACTTCCCACATATCCCAAAGTTGACATACTTATCCCTTATCTTATTTTGCAGGCAGCTATTTCCTACCAATACCCTATTGCAGCTGCATATTAAATTAGCAAATTTAACTACCGAGAATGCTTTAAAAATCTGTGTAGATGAAAACTTATTCTGGAGAATAAAATTCTACAACCACATTAAATAGTTAAATTGAATGTACTGCATTAACACACTTCCATGATACTATAGAGCCATTCTTAGATGGGACACAGTACATGTTATTTAACAGAACAACATTAATATATTAATAATTCACTGCCTAAAGTTTGTGCCAAGTTAGTAATTTCAGTTGAAATCTGTTCTGAAGGAACAGAAGAGTGATATTAAGCAGCACAAGACATTGCAAAAAGATTAATTTTATGATCTTTTTCATCTTGGAAATCTACTTGTAGATCATGAGTATGAAGTTTAGTATCTTCACTTGTACTACAAACAAATTAATCCCCCAGTCTCTGACATAGAAAAGCATTATCAAACATACTTCTGAAAACCCTGAATGCTGGACAAGATCTTTTTTTTCAGAAATATGTTAAAAGTATCAGCTTCTGAAACAGGATTTCCATATGCTCAAATCATAGAACCTGTGTAATAACATCTATAAATACATACACATGAAAGTCACTGGAAAACATTATATAGCAATTTTTCCAGTCACTTCCATCCAGACACCACAATTAAAGAATTGCTGCAGTGTTAAAACAGTTCTTATTTTTTTATATTTTGAAAATTGCTCACAATCATTGCACAGGTGTTGTTGCCAACTCAGAAGCCTTCCTAATGAGACTACAATGTTTTCAAAAGGATCCTGACAGCTTTGATTAGACATGCAGGATGTAAAAAGAGAGTAATTCCCATAACTTAAAGAATTTTATTTTAATATTGTCTCGCTAGAGTAAACTGAAGTCGTGGATGAATTTGTGAACTCCTGAAAATAAAAATGTTGAAGGTCTGTGTTTTGTTTATTTATCATTTATCTTTTCAAACAGAAATATATAACAAAAAGAGAAGACTACAAAGGGGGGTTAAAAAGCATTATATTTAAACTCTTTGTCAGTGTTGTCTGCTGTTAGCTTAAAGTTACTTTTTTAAATAAAAAGGCCTGATCAAACTTTCTAGCCAACACATGAATGACCTTCTTCAAGGGCCTCTCCCACATGTGACACAGATGAGTGAAAACAGCTGCCTTTGCAGCACTAGTCTCTATAAAATTGTAATCTGTATCAAGGGATACATGGAAATTACATATAGTTCCCTGTCCTATTACCACAAACAGTAATGAGAAAACAGAATCACGGATTATTACTTCCACTCACTGACAAGAACAATTATAGCAAGCTTCGAGTCCCTACCACTGCAGTTTCAAAAGAAGTCATGCTTCAGAAAACCACGTGGGACATTGGTTAATGAAAACTGGAACCCACTGCAGAGGCCAGAAGTCTTTTAGACCCTTGGAAATTCAGTTTCAGGGTAAAGACAGGCAGGTATGGTCAGTCTCTTTCTCAGTGTGTCTTCAAAAAAATCAGAAGGCACACATGATAAATAGTTCCTATTGCTCTGTAGCTACATGCTAAGTTCAAAGCTGTGTGCAGAACAGCAAAACAGTTATCTCAACTGAGAATATAAAAAATATCTATCACTTAAATATATGTAACTGTAAAGTCCAATACATGTTCACGGCAAACATGACACGCTATTTCTGTAAAAGAACTATAAAGATTGAGCAACTTCTATTAATGAACAATTTAATTTGACATAGAAATTGTAGTATTGATGGTTCATAGAAACTAATCCAAGCTAATTGCATCGATGCCCCGAACAGCTAGCAAGATTTTTCAAAATTAATTTTTAAGAGGTTCAAGAAAAAAAGTGACACTGCCTTGCAGAAAAAAAGTAGTTGCTCAGCCTAGCTATGTTTATAGGGGTATAAACAGGAAAAAATATATTTAATTTAAAACTTTGGTGAAATTGTCAAATTCTGAACATGTAATACATGCAATTGTTCCTTTCTAGAACACGCACTTGCAGCTTCCCTTTCCAAGCAGGAATAACTATTCAGTTTATCCCTGTCTAGAATTCCACCGAAGTACTTTATACACTCATCCAATGTTAAACAACCAACACAGTTTAAAAAAACAAAAAAACCCAAAAAATAAAAACAAAAAAAACCCCAAAACAATCATTCCTTACATCCAGCAAAATCTAAACTGCTTTTTTCTGGTTGACATTGAATAATGTCTATAAATATCTATCAGGGCACCTGGTTAAATATTGCTCATACTTCCTTTGAGAAGAGGTAAAAAACTACATACATGGCTATACATTATGCTAGTGCAAAAACTTTTGGTATTTTTGAACTTTTATTCTTTTAGACTGAACTTAAAGGGAAAATTTAAAAACTTAAGTTCAGTAGCATTATGAACTACCTATAACATTGCATTCAAAGAGGTGTAAAACCATCTCTGAAATAATCATAGAACATTATGCATTTTCCATTTTACTCTTAGGGCTGTTGAATTATTTCTAAAATAAAATAAAAAGCTTGTAGATGTCTGAAACTGCATGGATGGTTTGGCCTGCAAAAATTCTTCATGTCATTATTTTTGAAGGGAAACAAGCAAATGCCTTGCTCAATGCCAGAATTGGTGATTTCCAAAAGGAAGGCACAGGATTCAGGAGTACATGCACCTCTTGTACATCCAGACATACTTCCCAGTCTCAGCCAGGAAGAACACTGAGCAAGAGGTAAATTAGGCATTTTTGGATGGATTTCAACTATCAGAGGCAGCAATCCTCCATTCAATTTCTTGCTGGCATTCATTTATTACCAATAATCACTTATTTCTTAAGTGATTGCTTCAAGACTTATAATTTCATACTCAAATAAGTGCTCCAATGCACTGCATATAGACTATTTAAATATTCAAAGACTGAAGGAAACCTTAAACTCTACAATAATTACATAAGTGCATCCACACTTCTGTTATCTCAATTAAATACAATCTACATGGGAACCTCTAAAATATCACAGTACTATTTCAACAATGGCTATTTTGGAAGCTACACTAGAAACACAGCTGACAAGGCATATATATTTATATAAACAAAGGTAGGACACACACAAAGCCATGAATGCCTTCTGTGTGTATGGAAGGACTCAGAATAACTCAGAATTTTAGAGACAAGTCTTTCTGAGCCAAAAATTCCTTCAAATAAATTTGGCTTTCACATTACACAGAAAAAAAAACCCAACAACTTAATATTATTATTTTTGAGTAGATTAATTTAAATGTCCATTGTACTTACAGACCCTTGGGCCCAAATCTCAGCCTTACAGAGATTTTATTTATAAGACTGGAGCTTCCATCAGCAACATTTACTTTTTAAGACTTAATTTTTGAATACAAGAATAGATAGAATTTCAGTTTCAATAACCATCAAACTTTTCCAGGAATGGATGCCAGCTCTTCATATCATCTATTCTTAGGTAAGCCATTTTAGCCTTGGGAAGAAGTACTTACCAGTTTTGAGTAAGTTATCCCTTTCAGCTCTCTACCCCCTCCTACAAAACAAAAACAACAACAACAACAAAAGATAATTACAAATATTTAAACTAGAGTTTGAAATTAAAAAAAAGATAATTCAAATATTTGAAAAGTTGGAGAGGGAAGGGTTGGGATATTAGAAAGGGGTTTTTGGTTGTTTTTTCTTCAGGGGAGTTGTAATTTATTTTTTTTTTTTTTTAGATGCTGAAGCTAACTATAAAACACCACTTTAAAAGGAAATCTGTTTGAAGTGGCAGGGAAAACTAAGGACATCTACAATTTTAATCTGGATTAAAATACAAACTATTACTGTCACTAGGGGGAGAAACAATTAGAGGTACAAATTTTTCTAGTTCTGTGCAAGGTCAGTGTCACCCTCCTGTGGAGGAAAGACCTCTCCATTACATTTATTCAGATCTGTATCATAAGCCCTGTCAGCTGCCACAGCTAAATATGATGAGGTTACCCACCCTAGACATTTGCTCATCATCTCTGCTAGAGGTTACACCAACACCAAAAGATGGTAGAGCAGGTGACAGGTCAGCACAGTCACTAGAGCTCAAATGCCAAAGTAGTGCTGGGGACTGAAAGAGGCAGCAGTGTAAGCCAACATGGTGAGACACAAAGTGTGGAGGACGAGAAGAGGCACTGCCCATGACACTGCCTGGGTCATGGGTAGAACATTTTGTAGCACAGCAAGGTAATACCTCTGAAATCACCACATGAATCATAAAAAAACTCATGAGTCAGAGTTCTAAAAAGATAGTTACAATATAAATGATAACTCATTTGCTCAATTACTTTGCTTGATGCTGAAAAACTGGCTCCAAAATACTCCCAATTTTCTAGTAAAATACTAGAATATTAGCACATTTGAAGCTTTAACTTCACAGCTAACAAGATCTTTGCAGATCTATCTATCCACATGTAAGTCATCACAGAACTGAAGTTTAAGGTCCAGTCTTATAGAAAGACAACAGCAGCAGAAAGTCACAATCATCTCTCACTCCCTGGAGACCAGCACAAGTGGAACTTTTCCATTTGCTAACCAGCAGAACCGGGTGCAGATGACCACTGAGAACAGAAAAGGAAACAGGAAGCCTACTGCTGGCAGTGACAGTATTGTCAGTCTCCTAGTCTCAAATTTTCCTGTGCATTTTGAAACACAGAATATTACAGATGATGTTTAATTTTAGAGCAATTTCAGGTTAGTTTACATAACATCCAGCTGCTAGCATGACAGGTTATGAACTGGGAAGTATGGACAGTTTTGAGGTTGTATTCAAAGAAAGTACATTTGCTCTGTATGCTGCAGAATTTTAAATACTGTCATTTTTGAGGGTGCTGAAGAGACAGGTTATTATTCTCTAATAAATTCTAGTTGTTTCTTTTTGGTATTAAAATCCTGCTTGTCACCTCCACCTCCCACTAGCAATCAGTCACTTAAGTGGTCCAGAAACCTATAGAGGAAGCCCTTCCACTATGCAAGTACTAAGTGCCCTCTTCAACAAGCAACTTCAGCTATCTGTCCATGCTATTAATAAAAAAAAAATAATAAAAAAACCTCAGTGCTCTAGATTACTGCCTTTGGAAAGCTAAACAAAACAGTCAGTACCACACATCTGCAAAATGCAGTCTTAGAATAAATAAGCATGGTTTTTATTTTAAAAAAAGAAAAATATCAATTTACTTGTAGCACAAGTACACACAACCTGACAAGAAAGCTGTCACTTAAAAATAACAGCAACTGTTCCTTCCTTCCTATTTTCCCCCTACGTAGAGACTCGCCTCCATAGCAGGACCATCAAGATGGAACTGTGCAGAAAAAAGCTGCACAGTTACAAACCTTCAGATTGCATTTAATCTTTCTGCAACCCCAGACTCAGAAGCCAGACACTCCCAAGGACAAAGTTGAGAACACAAGGAGTTTAATCGTGACTATCCAAGTGAACCACTGTGTTGCCTTGGAGAAGTCACTTAGAGAGGACTTATATAGGGAATGGAAATACATTTGCATCCTCTTCTGTACATAATTTACTACAGGCTTTTTTAAAGTGTTTAGAACAGGTTAACCTTTGAATGTCAAACCTTTGGCAACACAAAATTCTGACCTCATGCAGGTATACTATTTTTACTAACATCCCTGCCTCATTTAGTAGAGAGGACAAGCACAAATAATGAAGTACCAATTGAATTTCTTGTCATCCTGAACTTTTGATTTGCATGGCTTTTTAAACTCAACATCTAAGCCCTATGACAAATAGAAAATTGGTTTCTTCTTAAGCAGTGCACTAATGAGAGCCACAGAAAAACTTGTGCATGATACAGGCCAGTTTTCTTAAACGGAGAATTGAGACAGATATTGAAGAACAAATAACCAAGATTGGTAACCCCAAGCATGTTAAACAGATTTAAATTTTCAACTGCTCTTAGCATTTTTATAGTAAAGAACAGCATACGACCAACTATATCTGTAACTTTGGTTCTTGACAAGTCCCTGTATTTGTGGATACTGGGAACCAACAGAATAGTATTAATGAAAAAGGGATAAAGTCTGCTCTGAGGATGAAATGAGATCATTTCTTCACAGCAAGAGTACATATAGAAACTCACACTGCCTCTCTCATTGTCACTACAAAACACATTACAAAGTTAAGATTAGACAGCTCACAATCACTCATATCCATAGAGAAGTCTGAAGAGTTTAGCATTATATGGGATTTCTAACAAAAACTTCAACAGCAGAAATGTATACAAAATCTCAGCTATCTAATTTACTGAGGTAGCCTTTTGAAGGCTCTAGAAACATGCTGTAAACTGCCCAAGGTAGGAGCCTGCAAGGTTAACTCTCAGATTACTACAGTATATTCTACAATATTTTGGGGGTTTTTAAACCCCAGGTCTGGGAGTCAAATTAAGCCTTCTTCCCAAAATACATATATGATCTGTGATTAGAAAAGTTACTCTTTTCATGGGACCGTTATGAAAACAAAGATTTCTAAACTCCTATGTTTAAGGCTTGGTAGCACCTGAGGACATCAGAAGAACACATGGTGGTGGAAACATTTTAGCATACAGCACCTGAAGGCTCAAGACTATTTAAATGCTAATTATCTGTATATTAAGATGTCTGGTTATAACAATTAGATACTTATTACTACCTTCAAGTTACACAATAAAGTTTATGCTACTGTAAGCCAAGACTACCTTGGAAAAACTGGAAAGAATTAAATGTCATGTTCAGCAATTTTTTCTTTATGTTTTTCCTAACTCTAGAAACTAGCAAATGTTTACTGTCAGACCATGGAACCCTATACATCCATATAATGTTACAATATTTAACTATGTATATTTTACTTTTCATCATCTTGTTCAGTGCACAGAATGAACTCAGAAAAAAAAAAAAAAAGACTAAATGCTGTGCACAGGCAATTGTGAACCTGATGTTCTTTCACATTTCAGAGAATTGCTCTACATTATGAGGGTAAAGCATTATTAATTTTTTGTGTGTGTGTGTACACACCACACAGAAGCGATTCAGTTTTTTCTCTGGACTTTTGTTTTCAGATGTGAACTCCTCAAAGCAACAGCTCTCCGTCCTATATTTGAATGACATCTTGTATATGGAGAGCACTCTGTAGCTATCTTCTAAGAAAACAAGTCATAACAGATACTTTACTGTGATTTTCAAGTCAGCAACTCATATTTCTTCACAGGGCAGGATCTCTGCAGTCTTAAGAAGACCATAGGCCAGACAGGGTATATAACCAATTGCAAATTACATTATTATAAGGGTCACGTTTCAATGGCCATTGTTAGCAGCACTGGTGCTGTTGCTTCTGTAATAAAAACAAGCCTCCTTTGTGCCAGTGCACGGAATCTGCTCTTCCTGTTGTGCTGCAGCTGGGAGAATTCCCAATCAGCCCCAGTAACACATGCCAGGCAAGTGGTGAAGGGACCAACAGGATTGCTCAAGATAACTGAGATTGCACTGAAGTGTAAAAGCCATGCCTTCCAGCCTGTCCATCTGTACAACTGCTCTCTCTTCCTCCTTCCTTATCCCCACAAAATACTGATAGATTAACTCACCTAAATTGGTCAAGGAGCCTGGATTTTCTGCTTATGCATGCAGACAACTTACAGGATTCAAACTACAAACTTCAGTTCTACCTAAAAGTTCTTCTGCTGCTACAATTCGCCATGAAACAAATGCAGGCTGGACTTTGAGACACCTGAAGCTGACTTCACTCGGGGACAGATTGCTTTGCCTTCCCTGAAACACTTTATAAAACCATCAACCTAAGTTTAAATAGAAGTGTGCAACACTATCATTTATCTTTGCAGAAGCAGTACTATATTTAACACATAGAAAATGAGCTAGAAGACTCATTACAGTTTAAAGGATCATCTCTAGTGTAAAGATAAGACCACTTCACGAGCTGATTCTTAAAGTACCAACCAAAACTAGCCATGGCACCAAACACATGTAAACAGTTGACAATTACCCTCTTAGATCTTGTCCTATGACTACAGCTCCATTGGGCATTAGTACCTCTTCCTGAACACAGTCTTTCCTAGCATTTTGGGGGTGGGATGAAGTATGAAATCACCCTCTCTGGCAAAATGATTAACTACATTTGGCCTAGTATAAAATTAGCACAAACGTTTTAAAAATCTCAGAATCACCTCTGTCACTTGAGCAGATTCAAGGTATGTTGCTCTACACTCTTTACCCAAGCATAAACCCCTCTTCTTTGCACAGTCCTAGCCTATTTCTTGAATCAGAGAAGCCTCTCTAACCTATGACCCTTAGTAAACCTGTCAGATGTTCTGACTTGGTATCAAGGGCTCCCCATTTAACCTAACATCCATAAAATTACCAAGAATAAAATTCTCCTTTTTGCACCCAGACAGCAGTGTACAGGGACATTTTACAGCACTGTTGCATTCAGAAGTTCTAGTATTGCAGAACCAGTAAGTCTCAATTTGCTTAGTGAGTTACTATTCACCAGGTTCTAGGTACACACAAAATCATCTTATATGCTGTGTGGTTAAATTCCTGCTCATGTAAAAAAACTTGGATGACCTGGACTTCTATTTCAGTGAATTACTTTTTAGAAGGACTGTTTAGGTAAACACACACCAAGAGAAACCTCAGTACTAATTAGGTCTCTAAGTTTCTGTTTTACTAACAGTGCAACAGCAAAGTTTCATTTTTTAAGTAGGGAGCTGAGGAATCTTTTGCAAAATTAAAATATTTACATGATGTGAAGGTATAAATCAGCAGAAGGCAGAGTTTGGCATTTGTTTCTAAATATTTTTTGCTGCATTATTTGATATTCCATAAAGTTGCTGGAAACATGGGTTGTTTGGGATTTTGTTTTAAACATTGTTTAACAATTTAACTTCAAAAATATGTCAGTTAATCTGTTAAGTAGATCAGTTAAGTCTAAAAACTGTCATTTTTCTTTTTGAATTATTTTCAAGTATTAGCAAAGTATATATACCACTGGGAAGGAAAATAAGATGGCAGGTCAACAGAAAATGAAAGGAGCTGTTTCCTCCTAGCTGTAATAGCTTACTGTTTGGTCTCAAAATTTATAAGAAATGCAAAGGGAAGTTATTTGAATGTTTGTGCTTTGTAGTTTTGTTTTGGTTTTTAATAGTATGTCTAGCAAAATCAGTTTATTAATCTATATTGTTCCTAACCTGTGTTGCAAATTTCTCATTCCAGTCACTGAGAAGTTCCTGCCTTCCTTTCATACTTCAGAGACAGAGGAACTACTTGGGAAAAAGGGGAGGAAAGGGAGTTGAGAGGAGGAGAGAAGACTCTTTCTAGAAAGAACACACACCATAAATCCTAATAATTTATTTAAAAACTGAAGAAGCAAGGAACAAGAAAAATTAAGAAAACTCTACCCCAGTACCTATTAAACTAATTTTTCCCCTGAAATTCGATTCAGAAGGGAGGGATCTCTGATTTCTTGTTTTATCCTTTTAAACATGAGATTTCTTATTGAGTGCCAAACCCTTTTCCCCTCCAAGCAACTCACTTTATCTTGGAAAGAACTGGCTTGTGGGAATGATACATTAGTGAGGCAGAAGTGCCTTAAGAGTTTTGGGAAGAGGTCCAGTGTACAAAAGGAGATGATCTGGGTAGTATTGCAAGACTACAGGCATGAAATGCAAATCTAGAGGTACCTCTGAGTATCACTGGAAGTGCAACTGCACTTCTGATGGAGAGAATCTCAGGTGTGTGCACCTCCCGCTTGAACAGACTATTCTTTGAATTTTATCTATCTGCCAGAGACGTTCAGAGGACACTAAAAAACGTCAGAAGTGCAGCCAACACCTCAACGACACAGACGTGACACTCAAGGACAGCCTTGGCCTTCCATTTCCACGAGGAAAGAGGCGCTGTTACCGCAGTCAGCCAGCAGGGGGAAATGCCAAACAAGTGAAGGGAAAAAAAAAAAGTTAAAAGAGAAAACACAAAACATGAGGAATAAAATTCGAAAAACGACACCCACATCCCCTCAGTTGAGATGGAAGGAAGAGATTCTGCTCTCTGAGGGAAAGCAGGAGAAATGAGGTATATATGACTCAAAGCATTCTTCCACAATTTAGAGAGGAAACAGTGAAAGTGCAAGAACAAAACACAAGCAAGTAAAGGCAAGCTCAGTTTCGTGTTAGCACAGAGTAACTGCAGATCAATTAAAGTCTTCTTACATCTAGCATTTTAACGATAAACAAAATATTATGACTAAACAACTGAGAGAATTAAGCTGAAAGATTATATATTTTTAAAGGACTATCCAACATGAAGGTATTAACTAATTTATTTAAAGTTAGCGCACATATTCTAGAAGATCATTCTGCATTACAGAAGACTTCATATTACATTTATACAGAATCCCAAGAGTCTGGACTTTTTTTCCCAAGAGATTTCAGAACAGCAGGGCTCCAATTAAGAGATGCTGAATTTCTTTCTACCTTATAAATATTACCTATACAGCATTTCCATGCTTACGAAGTACAGTGAAAACTACTTAAAGGGACTGTTCCTTAAGTGAATAAATCCGTATTAAATGCATTTTGATGAAGGGCAACTTGTATGTAACAGACAGGAAACAGACACAATTCCACAATTCATTTTAAAATTAAGAAATTAAAAAGCAAAATGTGATAATTTGTTGAACAAAGAAATTTAACAAGCATTTGCAATGAAGAAAAAAAGACAAGCCCTGCAATCACAAGGGCTTTCTGTTTAAAATATCACTGGCTGAGAATCACAAGGAGCAGCAGTGAGATTTTCAGTGACAGATTTAGGGAGATAAGCTACAAGCTTCTACTGGTGTTACTGTTCCACAAATATCAGACAGAAGCCAGGTACATATGTAATAACATGCAAACATTTAAAAATGCAGGTGTATTGTGATTAGTGATTATATGGCAGGGTACCTTAAAATAACAGGTAATTTTTATAGTGCTGTATTTATAAAGTTCTTTCAAAATCAGATGCTGTACTTTCAGTAAAACTCTTACCACGAAATTAAAAGGACAATTTGCCAAGCATTCACAAGGAAAGTTCAGACTACCACTATATCAAGAGACCTAAGTGAAACCTGGTTCTGCTCAAAGTTTATAGTTCTTGCTTCGGTTTCTTTCTTCTTATTTAGCCTGCAGGCTAAATAACACTCCCACAGTCAGCTAATCTAGCTGACCAAGGCACTCTCCTTCATGTTCTCTGCCAGCTGTGAGTCCCCACTTATTCTGGGAGGAATGGTGGGCAAGGGGGTGTCACATTCCACAAAAAGTTGAAGTGATTCACAGAGTGGTCAGGGGAACATCCTGCACAAATTTAAGCAGCAGAAACATTGTGCTGGCAGCAGAAGGGAGACCTTCCTTCCTTCCTTCAGCAGTCATCGAGTTCCAGTTGGCTATCCTGGGTACAGCACTGAACACTTTGCTGATTCTTTTTAATTAAAACAATCATCAAGAAGTGACCTTTCATTTTCCCCACGTGGTCAGAAATTTGGCTTATGAGTTACATTTTCAGTGACAGAGTCACGTTTGAACATCCCTTTCATTTTCAAACTGGAAGACCTACAGAATACCTAGGGATAAAGAGGCATCTGAGTTTGGCAGTCTTGATTTCTTTTTGTTCTGCTTGTTACTCGGGCAGAATAGAAATCACTGTTATTTTCTGTGCAGCCTCATTATGGCACAGGCATTCTTTAAATACTAAGATGAAGCCAACCTATGCTGACTTTGCTATGGTCAACTTTCATGTCAGTACAGTGCAACAGGTATTGGCCCACACTTAATCTATCACATTTCTTACAATAAATTGGACTCTTCAATTTAATTATTTCATCATATGCATTAAAAAGAAACTATTTAATGTATATAAAGTACAATAGCATAAACTTGAAAATTAGGTGATAATATGCATTTGTGTATTCTGTACTTCATGATACTGAAAAATACTTATAAAGAATATAGGAGTTTGTTTCATCTTATGTAGAGCTTCCATTTTAACAGGAAGTGACATGGCTCAAAATGAAAAACCATACATAAATCCTTGCCTTTACAACACTACAGATCACTTCCCTAGTATGTTAGGCTTCAAAATTATTGTCAAAAGATAATATGAAAATGATTTGTTAGTGAACAGATGTTCACATGAAAAAAGTATCAAAAGAACAATCGTTTGTTTCTTAATCTGTCTTCAGATTTTATGAACAAGATGAAAAAGGTAATGCTTCTCACCTGCTAAAAGTCTTTTTTTTTTCCAGAACGAATACTGGCAATTTAATTTCACAAAGTTCTATGTAAAACAGTCTCAGACTTCTGTTGATTCTGTCGGGTGCTCTGAACTCTGAAAAGGTGGCTGGGACCCTCTGCTGCTACCAGACAGGTATCACATTTTCCTCTCCTTTTGACTACAACATCTGTTCTAAGTACAGCCTGCTTGCATTTAGTAAAAACCGTTCTCATTCTATATGTGCATTTGATTCGCTTTTTAGTCAAACTTATTTCAATTTCTCTAGCTATTATTTCATTAAATCATGTTGTCATTTTGGCATTCCTGATCTCCTGAGCACAGAGACCAGCAAATAAAGAAAAATAAAAGGAAAAAAGACCAGCTTAAGACTCTCCAACAATAAGTACTGTATTCCCTGTGTAGAGATTAATTCGATAAGGATCAATAAGGTTTCCATGAGTTTCTAGTTTTGTGTACTGATAAATTATGATAGAGCAAGGGAAAAGTATCAACGTGTTTCACATAGAGCCTAAGCAAAAAGGCAGTAAACAGAATTAGGTAAAACATGCTTGTTCCAAACTCTGAACATACCAGAATATTGAAAGCTCCTTTCTCTCCCCCTCCATCCCAAAATAAAAGCGTGAGTGAGAAGGGATTTCATTACATTCTTAGAACTGTGAGAAGCGAAGTCAAAGGCAGGCAGTGGCGTTTAGCATGCAGGCTGTACACACTCCCAAGTACGTCACACTGACAGAACACGCTGGCGGAGCTATCTGCCTTCCCAAGGCCTCCAACGCACGGTCGCTAGGCCTAAATCAGGTACTCTGTGTGCAGGGCTGCTGCAGATGAGCAGGAGTCCTCCCCTTCTCCCCATTTCCCTTAGATTTAACTACCACATTGTTCCAGCATCAGCTTTTTCTCTCTGCTTCCTTCGGCCGTAATGACTGTATTTAAAAAGGGACAGCATCACAATTTACTGTGCAAAATTCGGCCCTAATCTTTTTCCTTCTTTACTACACCGGCTCCCCTGCAGCTTCTGAGCCATTGTCGGCTGTTGTTTTTTGTTCCTTGAATGCAACAGGACTTGGCCTGCCAGGCTGCATCGCTGTTTTCACAGCACACCTCTAAGAGGAAGAAAATCTCCTCTTCCCTGCTTCCTGCTGAGCACTGTGAATATTTGGATTTTTCCTTTCTCCCAACAGATACACAAGTCCAACACTGTTGAATATTCACACATTCCTCTCTTTCAACACCAGATCCTTCTTTCCCTGTTTATTTTCATACAAAACTAGTAAATGAAGGTGTAACTAAGCTGTAGCCCAAATACTTCAGAAGTTCTTTTACAGAGAATTTGATTCTTCTGCCAGGGTAGTCTTATTCTGACAACTACTTTGAGCCATTTACTTTACCTAATGCAGCATTTTCCTGCTGTTAGGATTTCTAATCTACCATATAGCTTTGCAACACTCATGTTCAGGACAAAGAATTTTGTCTCTGTAAGTCATGAACTTTCTCATTCAGGCAAGATGGAATAATGGTGAGATAAAACTCACATTTTCCTCATAGCTTTACCCTGGATGACACTCAGGTGAACTACTCAATGCAACTCAGCCTCATGGGACTAACACAAAACTACTGGGGAAACAGTGGCATCAACTGAAGTGTAGACAAACTCCCAAAATTCATCTTTGCCAAGCCAAATAAAATGGGGTAACCTTCTGGAGGTCAAACATGTATCAGAATACTGCATTAAATAAATACATAAACACACACAAAAAAACCCTTTAGAAATCACTAAGACCTAAAGGTAAGTATAGAGATGCAAACTTTACTTGAACACCAGAGGCAAAAATTTACTGTATTTTTCTCTTTAAAAAATGTAATTCCACACTCAAAAAAATATAGAGACGAAACCCAAAAAATTCACATTTTCCTTCCAAGGAACAGTTCTACTCAATTCAAAAAGAAAAGATTTTTCTAGGCAAAAGTAGAATTTTCAGAGTTTTCCAGAGTATATACAACTTTTTAAAAAATATATAATTATTTAAACAGTGATTTAACCAGCTCATTGCAATGGAAACCCTGACAACACTTCAGAAAACATTTATGACACAGTCCTAATGAACTATTAGACAACAACCTACACAAAAAAGATGGACAAGTGAGAACAAGTTTATACACACCTTGGAAAGACCTGTTTTCTATTCTCCATTACAGATTTCTTTTCTCATCTTAGCAGCTGTTTCCTTTTCTCTAATCTGCACAATATACCTCAACTAAATTACAAATTTTGTTTCAGTCCCTTTTCTTTCAAAAAACACATGCCCTAGAAGGAAGGAAAATAAGTATGATACCACTCTCCACACTCTTTTCAGTCCCCTCTGTTGCAAAAAAAACATACATGTTTGTTCCAGACAGAAGGTATTTAAGTTCCTGAAACCAAACATGACCATTTTAGAGAACTCTATAACCAGAAGTATTTAACGTTTCAGAAGTCACTTCCAGAGAGTGTTCCTCTTGTAATTTTAACCTGTGCTAAATGGCATCTTTTCAAATAATCTATTAGAGAAACAGTAAGAATTTCAATTATTTCAGCCCTTTCTATTTTCTCAAGTCGCATTATCAAGGACATAACATCTGGCACAAGTTCTGTGGGGGAAGAGGCTTGTGCATCATCCTTTCATACACACTACAGGCTCCAGTCCTGGAAGAGGGCAGAATGGTAAGAAATACTTTTTTCCTGAAGAGGACAGGAATGGTTGTTTACTGGTCAGACCAAAGGACCCTGGGATCATGTGTTGCCAATTCCTGAACTAGTTCACTTACCTCTGTCAAATCACTTTAAGAGTTTCAGCTTCCAAACACAAAATAAAGATACCTGAATTATAACAATGCAAGTATTCATTTCTTGGCTTTGTATGTTTTTAGAAGTGTCTGTTCACTAACACACAAAACAATGCTTTGTCCAATTAGAGACCGGCAACCAAAACAAGTTTCAGCTGCTTAACTTCATAAGCTACAAAACCAAAACACATTTTTCAGTCTTCTCATTCATGAACATCAAAAACTGTCAGTCTTGCTTTTCAAAAATCTGCATCAAAGCTCCTACTCAAGCATTCAAGGTAAGAGCAATTTTTATGAATTGAACTTTTTGTGGTTATTAAGTTCTTGCTGCAGTCACACGTACACTAGAGACTGTTCAAATTCCTCAACAGTTTAATACTAACCTACTAAAAAATATTTTTTCCACAACTTGCAAAGCATCACAAGCATGCACCCACACAAGGGTACAAAGTGCTAAAGAGCTTCTGAATACAATCATGTAAAATTACAATTCAAATTACTAAAGGCAATTACAAAAAGAAGTTGAAGGAGGATTGATTTCCCCAGTAACCCTAAATCATCTAGATATCTGAAAACCTGTATAATCCATGCACACTGAGCAATGCTGAAGTAAAGGATGCAATTCCTACAGCAGGTAAATCAGCACTACCGTGTGTTGTTGACAAGTTCTAAACTAGTTCATTTGAATATCCTCTGTCAAGTTACAGTCTGGATGTCACATCTGCATGCTCCTACATGGCACATTAGTCTCCTTCTCCTGCAGGACAGAAGTTTCTGCTGTAGCCCCTCTTCCTACCCCCCAGATATCGGAATGAACATTCGCCCAGTACTGTGTGAGTTTAATTATTTAACACTCAATCAATACTTAGAGCAGCAAAGGACAGGAAAATTCATATATATAGAAGAAACATTACTTTTAAGCAGTATTTATTCTCTGAGAAGTGTCTGTTCCCACTGTCCTAACAATTCAACTAACCAACTTAATTAACCAACTAGTTAATACTAACTTCTCCCATAATAAAATGAAGATATTCCAGTTAGACAAGGAATAAACTTATGAAAGTTAACACCTGCCATTTGCCTGACAGTCAAACTGCCTTAAAACTCATTGATATCAATGCTAGGTGAGTGAAGTTTTGAGTTTCAAACCAGAGTATCAAATTTTAAAAAATTAAAATTCTACCGTGATAACAAAATTAAATGAGCAGTGGATTCTCGGCATCTATTAAAAAAAATAAACTCACAGCTGGTCTTAGTAAAAACATCATAGACTTGGTTAAAAAGGCAAGACAAAGACTTCCACAAACTGGAAGAGAAAAGAACTGAAGAAAAGATACTGGGATGAGGCAGGATGTAGGAACAAATTATGGAGGCAGGAATGAATTATATCACCCTTTGAAGGTGATATAATTCATGATACCAAGATTACAAAGCACTGGCCATTTAAACAAAAACCCAAAACATAGAAAACAAAACCACACACATACAAAGGAAAAAAAAAAAAACCAAAAACCAAGATCCCACATTTCTAAGGCACACTCTCTGCCAAGTATTCATATAAAAGATTGCAATCTTAATGAAATGAAGCTTTCGGACATCTAACTTCAAAGCAAATTAAAAGAGATGCTGGAAGACCTACATCTCAAATACCAAAAGGTTCATACACCATATTGCAACAAAAACAAAAGGAAGCAAACCCATTTGTATACCTCACATCACCTTATAGTAAAAGCCATGAGAGTACCTACACAAGAGTAATAAAGAAAATAAAAAGAAAGAAAACATTGAACAGTGAAAGAGCAGGGAAGTTACCACAACAAGGATCAGGGTTAAGTCTGTGAACATACTTTTAACTTATCTGGCAAAAAGGAAGGTTGCACACATTGTGATGCTTTCCATCATTTCAGATAGTTGTAATTAAAGTAAACTTCAGAGAGTTACAGGGGATCTGATAATACCAAATGACTAGTTTACATTTGTCATTTTGTTGTCCCAGGTCGAGAAGTGCAAAATAATATTCTCAGAGGAAAAAATAATCTAACTGTAAATACACAACGATGAACTGAAATTAGGCATGACTACTTACAAAAAAGATTTCAAGATTACTGCAGGCAACCAGTTCAACTCTCAGCAGCAAGAAGTCTGAGAAAAGTCTCAGAACAGAGGAAAAACAGGGTGCATTCTACTGTGATACACGCTGCACATAATTCTGGCTGCTCCACCTCAAAAAAGGGAGAAACAGAAACAATACAGAACAGAATGACAACAAGACAGTACGTTTAAAACAAATGAAACTATTTTTTTCTTGCACCAACCTATCGCACGCACAGAAAATGCAGGTAAACTGCACAGAACTTGCTGCTCTGAAACACTCTGAAAGCCACAGATATTTATAAATTAGTTCAAAAAGGCAGCAAATTCACCTATAAATAGTTTGATGTTGCTATTCACAGTGCAGTAGCCCAAATGTAGCTTCCATCTCAGACAGCAGCTAAACAACTGTCAGAAACCTACTGTTAATATTTCAGCGGCTGACAGAATGCACCCATTTCCTACACTGTTCAGTCAGCTGCTGCTGCTAGACACTGATAAAGGCAAGATGCTGGATTAGATGGACATTTGGTCCAGCAGAGTATGTTAGTTCCTACGTTTAATCACATTGAGCAGCCATGCTGGTATATGTCTTGGTTTGTTTTGGAGATTGGTTTTCTAGTAAATAAAACAAGCTATAATTCAAGCACATAACGTTAAAAGCAGAAATTGCAACTTCTGAAGCAGAAATCAAACTGGTTTGTGTAATATAATGCAACACTGAAATAAAGCCATGAGCAAGTATTGAATGCTACAGTTTTTTTGTTTTTATATAACCCATCAGACTGATGAAAAATTCTCCTCCGAGCCCCTCACCAATCAGGGTGTCAATGTAAGGAGACTCAGGCTGAGACTGAGAAAGATTTAGAAAGTTGGAAAGCAGCACTAAACATAAGCCTTGGATGCTTGCTGCAAAAACTGCCAAGACCCATTTAAGACTGGCAATGATTTGGCATCCTCCCAGCTGACCAGAGGGAAGATCTCCTGAACCAATGGATTCAAAAGGGACATGTAGATGAAGGTCTGACTCCTCTCCAACAAAACTGACTTTGTTTCAGGTCCTGCCTGACCCTGGAAGAGTGCAGGATGCTCTCTGTTTTAATAAGGAAGTCTAGGTGAAAAAGTACTGCTGTCACAGAAAATGCATAAACTCAAGCTGAGGCCCAGGACAAACATCGAACAGAATTCTGCTGGAAGTATTGCTAATCCTGCTAGAAAGCACTGCCTAAACAATTTGGTGAATGCCTGCTTTCTCATCACTGTCAGCTTCCTTCTCTTCTGACAGATGAGCTTTTGAAGATAGCCAAACTGAAAGCCATGTAGGATAAACAAGCAGGTCTCAATCAGTGGGAAACAGAGAAGTTTCATTTTCTAAAGCCCAAAATTACAACAGGTCTGGAAAACAAAGCAAGTGTCCAGTATATAAAACCTTCCAGTATTGCTGTAGGCAGCAAGATGAAGATGAACATACCCAATAAGCTTATCATCTTTACCAGGAGCAAGCAAGTATCAAGGATAAAAACATGCAAAAAAACAGAAGCAGCTTTATGAGCAGTTTCATGAACTCACAGATATTGCCTCAATGAGATTATTGCTCATCTATGCTGTTGAGAAAGCTGACCACAATCCAGTTTATATGAGAAAGATCCAGTTTACATAAGAAATCCCTTAAGTCACATAAAAAGACAAGAAAATAAGAATTTCAGGCTACGTTATTTTTTCCCTTCATTTCCCATAGGGGCTATTATAATTTTGTTATTTAAATAACCTTCTCCTTGCAGAATCACAGAGGTTGGTTTGGGGTTCTTTCATTTTGTTTTGCAAAGGAAGGTATCATCTAGACCAGCAATAGCATTGAAATTGGTCTTGCTGAAAGAAAACCGCAACACAATGCCCTTATCATCCTAGAGATCATTGGTGCAAACTACACCAGCAACAAATAGCACTACAAACTAACAATTCAAAGAAATTGGC